TTTAACCGATAACGTATTATTTTTTAGTGCTAGTTTATTAATATAGCCTACTTGGTATATTTTAACATCTAAACCCATGCCTTTCTGTTATTACCTTTGTTATATTATTATATTATTGTTTTATTTATTTATTTTTATTTATCTAGGTTGTATTTTTTTATTTAGTTAGCCAATTGTTTATAAATTGTGTAGTTCTGTATATATATATATATATATATATATATATATATATATATATATATATATATATATATATATATATATATTGTTTTGTTTTTTTACATCAAAATTATAAGTAATTCTGAGAAGATCTTATGTTCATTTAATTTTTTTTCTGTTTATTTTTTATTGGCTACATACTATTTTTTAAATAATGTTTGTAATATTAGAATTTGTATAAGTTAGTTTTTGGCCAGATTTTTATTCTATTCTATTCTATTCTATATGAAGAAGGTTGTGTACTGATATATATAATACATATGTGAATGTAGAGTATGGCACGTACGTATGTATCTATGTATAGTTTGTAATTATAACATGTAATTTATAAACAAGAATTTTAATTATAAAATTATTATTCAGGAAAAGTAAGACATAAAATTACCTAAATAACAGTATTATCAAAATTTCTTTTCAGACTCGAAAATACCTTAATAAGCCATCTCATAATGCAGTAAAAGGTCTGCAATATAATAAATATTGTTGTACAAATAGTTATTTAATTAACCACTGAAATAGAATTTGGCACTAAAATGATAAAAAAAAATATTTGTATAATTGCTATTAAAATTAGTTCTATATGTCGGTAACCCATTTGTTTCATCATAATTTAGATATGATGCTCAATTGGATTATAAATGTTAAATTATAAATATGCCCAGTAAATAACAAAGAGGTGACTGCCCTGGTTACATTTTCCGCTGATTCATGATCTTACAGTGAACAGAAAGGCCGGATTAAAAGACCACAATGGGAAAGGCAGGCTGACCGAACAGATCCCCCCATAAATCTGGATTATCTCTGATTCAACACTGATCTACTCCTCGTCTGGGGATATTTTGTCTTCTGTAATGGGACGATAAATTTATTCCTCTTAGGAATTTCAATGCTACCATTTTGTTTCTACAAATTAAAAAAAAAAAGAACCAGAAAATTAAACATTTTTATTCTTTTTTTCGTGCAGAAAAAAATTATAATGATTAATGAAGATTTTATGGGTCATTCTTGTATTATTTACCTATTTGATATCCCCGGAATATACATTCGTTTTTCATTTCACTAATTTTTTTATTGTTTCTAAGGAATAAAATGATGACAATTAAATAAATCTATCTCAATCACAAGAAGAAATATCTTAATTTATATATAAAACACCGTAACGAATTTTACTGTCCTCACGGTTAGGATGCGAAGTTCTTTATAGTTTGATATGAAACAATCTGTATTGATTTATTTTTTACCATAGGAAAATCGTTGATCTATAATTTTTTTTATATTATGGTTTAAGTCTTTTATATGAACATAAATTTAAGGATTTCTAGAAAATGTTATAAAGGTTTTAACATTCCAGCATCTGGTTATTTCTGGGTAAAGTTAAGATTTATGACTAGGATATGTTAAATAAGGGTTCTTACATTGTTTCAACGAGCGCTGGCAACTTGCCAGGGACTACCGCCCAGGATGCGTAGGCTATTGTAATGTTCGACCTCTTAGAAACTCAAGTTTTATTGCTAGGCCGCATTTAAAATTACATTTAGTATTAGGCATACATTTATATTTTAACCGTTGCTTAAACAAAATGATTATTTCTATAATTTAGCGAAAAAAGGGCCAATTAACAAAATTTTGAAATTGTAATGAGCTGAAGGAAAGAATATTAGAATGGGGTATAAATTTATTGTTCAAGCGGTTACGTCCTAACATTATGTATATACATCCTACACTTGTGCACTAAGGAACAGATTTATACGAAACAATTATCACACAATTTAGTTAACCCTCTCAATAGTACAAATATAAAATTTCATTGATAAAGCGAAACTTGGTTGGTTATCAATACGGGATGATAAAGTTAACAATATGCGCGATGTATTATAAAAATCTTACGTACATCTTTGAAGGAGCTAAACTTTTCTGTACGATTTTAAATTCTAACGTTATTTATTATTTATCTAAAGGAAATAAAAACACAGTAGGCAAGTGTATAAAAATTAGGCAAACCCTTTTATCTAAAAAAGAAGATTTTACTATGTGCACAATTTTATAAGTTCATAGGGAGAAAATTTATCATGCTACGTAATTATTTTATGTTATAAAATACTACGCACTGACTTTTTGTAATACACTGACGATATACTTCAATAAAAGTATTCTTAAAGAAGCCGAGATCTTTTTAATATATAAGTAACTCGATCATGGCAAAGAGGAGAACATCCAAGGTATGGCAGACTAACAGACTTCCCTCAGATAGACGGACATTTAACAGACTAAATGATTAAATTAAATGACCAATAAAATATTCAATAGGACGAATTATGATACTCACCTGAACAGATCATGATGCTCACAGTCTATCAACTGACTATAGAAGTTTGTGGAAGCATACCAACAATTTGTGAAAACAACAAAAGGTGTCAGTACCCCTGCGAAACGATGGATTTTGATATTGATATATTGATCATTTTGATATTGATGTTTAATATTGATCCTTGACTGAAGAATAAGATAGTATGTATAATGTAGTATAGTTTTGAGTTTAAAGGGAAGTACCTGGAGCCAGACTTTATCAAATCCCTGGACAAAATCCAGAAACAAGTCGGTTGCAAATTGTTTTTCCTCTAGCGCTCCATCAATGTAGTCAGTAACTCCGTGTAATTGGGATGTAGTTGAATGAATAGTACAAAAACCGAATTGATGATCAGGAATTATTTTTTGGTCGGTCGGTATGTCAAACAGTCTTTTGTATATTAATTTGTATCTTATTCTTCAGTCTTTCTTTTTTGGCAGATTTTTCTCTGTCAGGTAAGGTTTAGAAATTTTCTCAATTCGACCAGTGTCTGGAGGGGTGTCATATAGATCGATATCGGATCCTTTACTCTACATTATCTACAACCATGACATGCCTACCACCTCCGAAACATTGACAGCTACTTGCGCAGACGATACAACAATTTTGACAAAACACCTTGACCCCAGACTAGCCTCACTAAATTTACAAAATCACTTACTAAATTTAAAAGTTGGTATTCACTTTAGAAAATTAGATTAAATCATGATAAATCACAACATTTTCACTTCGACGAGACACAATCGCACCACTTTATATCAGCGACAATAAAATTAGTAAGACGAACACTGTACATTACCTCGGACTAATATTCAACAGAAAGATGACCTGGTGTGCACACTTCAAAATGAAACGAAAGACTTTCAACAAGCGACTGAAAATACTATACTCATTTTTTTCAAATAAAAATTGGAAATCAGATAAAAACTAAATACATACACATACCTGCTCAAATCTATTTGGACATACTCCTCACAGATTTACGGTTCAGGAAAAAAGAACTCACAAAACCTACAATATTTTTAATCCAAAATTTAAGACTAACAATTGCAGCCCCCTGGTACGTCAACGTATGTAATTACAATCTTTAAAACGTATGTAACTTCTAACGTATCTGCAATCTTTTTAATCTAAAATTTTAAAACTAATAACTGCATCCCCCTAGTACGTCATACGTATTTATAATATGTATAATAAAATATAGGGTTTTACTATGTGCACAATTGTTCAATTTTATAGGGAGAAAATTTATCATATTACTTAATACTTAATAGTTTCATAAAAGTATTCAAGAATACTGTAATAATGTAAAGCCTGAGTTGCCCCTTTTAAGATAGCAAATACCATTACGCATTACTAAACAGAATATGTGGCTTGCTGGTTTTAATTTTGAAGGGGCAAAACTGTGAGCAGCCTACTGTACATAAATACTATTATAATACGAATATGTGTTTGTGAATATTATGATATATAATAAGTGAATATATAATATTTGTATATATTATATATTCAAATATAGTTTTGTTTAAGGTGAACATTTAATTTGTAATAAAAACTTTGGGCTATATGTATTTCACCATTTCTTAATTTGTTCTTTTCTATACTAGCAACGTTTTGGCTTGTACCGCCATTTTAAGTCATCCGTAAAGATTTAATTAATAATTAGTTATTTTCAAAATCAAAATTTGACATAATGCAATAGCGATGTTAATCATCATTTAAATTTAACATTGAATAAATCTTATCCCGAATGGGATCCTGTCAATAAGTTTTTTTTTTTTTTTTGTCTATAAAATATATATTTGCGCCTGTCAACAATAAGTTGACAATCAGCAAATGTGATGACGCCAATAAGTTAAATTACATATTCAAAGTTTTAAAAATCGAATAAGATTATTTTATTAGATAAAAATTGTAGGTTAGTTAATTCTAATTTACTTACTTAAAATAATGATACTCGTTATGTTGTGTCCAACATATTAAATGTGTCCATAATTGGACTGTTAGCACTGTGTAGTTGGGAGGTTATATGTTATTATATCATTATTTATTTTATATACTATTAAAATATTGTTAAATTAAAACTCCAAGTATGTGATGATATTTGCATATGTACTATTTTATCCATTGGTATCTGCTTGAAAATTACATACTCTACAATTTCTAGACTTTTGATTATATAAATTGAGTCTAATACTCTGACTTTATAGCAGTTTTTTTTTCACTATTCGTGTTTGTATAACGATTTTTATATCTAGGAAATGTATGTAATTTTTATATCTAGTCTCTTAAATAGGTGATTAAGATTGGATAGACATTTTTTTCGGAATGTAGAAACCAATTATTGTTATTGCTCTAAGATATTATTGAGACGTGCTCATTGAGGCTAATGATATCGTTTCTATAGTATCCTATAATATCGTTGCCTTCATACATGATGTTAAACGTATCATTAATTTGTCGACAGGTAACCTTGGGCGGTGGTAGGAGACACTGGCTGCCGAAGGTTGCCACTGACCCAGAGGATGACAAAGAAGAAGGACGAAGACTTGACGGTAGAAACCTCATTGAAGACTGGCTGAGGGACAAGAGAAAGCGAGGCATAGCGGCGCAATATGTCTGGAACAAGGAACAGCTCGATAGGATTGACCCAAAAACTGTAGACCACCTCTTGGGTAAGTCATCTAGTCATTCATGGTATAATTATTTGATTATATTTAATTATTATCTTTTACAGAGGCATGTAAACTTCAGATGTGAAATATCTGTAAGCCTCCTGATCTGCGTGCACCACCTATTCCTACACAAATTCATACAGGATGCCGATATAATCCATATGCAACACTTCTCTAGAACTATTAGATTAGATAAACTTATTAAAATAGCGAAAAGTTAGACCTTTACTATTATTCCTCTATTTTACTTTTTAATGAACTTATTATTTCACCTTTGTGGGTGTCTGTAAGCTCATAAGAATAAGTAATAAAAATAATTATTCAATGTAATATTATTTTAATATTACCAAGTTATAAAATTCATCAATAAAAATATAAGTATTTTTTGTCTTTAAAAATATATTTACTACTACAAACTTATTGAAAATCTAACAGCATATAATACAACAATATTGTATTATCGATCATTTTATATTAATGCATTTAAAAGGGATCATAAAAAAAAAATCCGGTCCAGATATTTGTTTTTAAAATAACAATTTATTTTTAGATAGTAATGCATATTTTACTTGCTTAGTAAAATTAGTACTTTCTTTTTACTTAACACTTCCGCCAAATCCAAAAATTCTCTTTTTTATTTTTTCAATATTTACTGAGATAGATAGTTGATTTATTAAAAAAAGTCATTAACTGAAATTAAATCACTTAATTCTTCAATGATATATGTGTTCTTTAATCACATATGTGACTTACCATCTACAATTAGTAATTACCACATTTTTTATAAATAAAAGGTACACTTACTATGTGCTATGTATCCATAAATAAGATCAGAATTTATTTTAAAAAATAAAAGTACGTAAATATCAAGCTCCTTCTGAAATATAATCATTAAATTTTTGCAATATACCAACCATATGGCCTGTTCAATAATGCCGATGCTTCCTTTCTATAAATTATAGATATTATAAATTATAGATATTTAAAATATGACACAAAAGTATCCAAAACATCCAAAATGAATCCAAAAAACACGGCAGATATAGTATATATAGCAGATATAATTTTGTGTTAGAAATTCTTAAGTTCAAAGTAATCCATAAACTTCACGAAACTATGAGAAATTGCGTTATAAACAAAATTTTAAAAATGTTATATTTTAAAGTATTCTATTTATTAAATATGTACTTATTTTACTCGTAAACTTTCAAAATGTGCATTTATGTATTTTATTTTTATGTGAAGCGAATTTCTAGATTTTATTTATTTTTAATGAATTAAAATTCTGGAAAATAACTGACAACGCTATCCAAACTTTTAAACAGATATGAGTACAACGTATTACACAAAAAAAAAAACCATAAAACATACCTTAAGATAATGTTTACGAAGGACACGTAAATTAAATAAGATATAATGAATGACTTCAAATATTTTTCTGTGATATATTATTATAAAACATTAAGAAAATAAAAGTTAACCAAATACAGTTGTAATATATATTTTTTTCTTTCACGAGATTACACCCAATCATAGATTTCATATGCTACTATAGAATTGGGTTCTTATTGTATATATATATATATATATATATATATATATATATATATATATATATATATATATATATATATATATATATATATACATATATATACATATATATACAATATAAACCCAATATAGTTATAAACCATACCTACTTTTTGTAAAGTTTTTTTTGAGATCGTGAAAAAAAAAAATATATATAAGGTTCAGGATACTATTTTTTTTTTTAAATATAGCAGTGAAAACAAATTAGCAGAACAGGGAAAAGCAAGGTATTGTAAAAAAAAATTAACTATGAAAATCAAAATAAATTAATTTCATTCTAATTTTGTCTTTTCATCATTTTTTATTTACGTCAATCGTTTATAAATATATTTTAATAAATTTTTGTTAATTATGTTTTAATTAAGAATTGTTGTAAAATTAATCAACAATTTATTTTACAACAATTCTTCCTTATTTATTCCTTCAGTAGCTATTATCATATAGAAATTATAACCCTTTATTTATTTTGAATACAACGAAAGAAATATATTATCAAAGTGAAAAGTCCTGAGCTGGCCCATAATTTACCACAAAGTTTCAGATAGCTTAGTGAATACTAAATTAGCAAAAATTAACCCTTCAGCCCGATAATTACTTCTTAAAAATGGTGAGTTAAAAATTCATTAAAAATCTCTAATGAACAGATAATTACTGTATTTTTAAAACCAATTCCATCTCTCGTGAGATAATCTTCACGTGCTGTTAAAATTAATGTCATTTGTTTCCTTCATTTCCCTCTCCTATTAAAGCCTTAAATATAAACTCTAAGCAAGGCAACACCAAATCACGAATACTGAAATGAGGCCCTTTCACGAAAAAAAAATAAAGCAACGACCTTCTTAAGTCCAATAGTTCGATATAGTTAAATAGGTGCCGAAGGAAAAATATTATGGCTAATAAAAATGAATAGAAAATTTTTTTTTTGTCTACCAATTACTTAAATTGTTTAAGGAAGGAGATCTCTCATCCAACGCCTTTTTAGTCTCCTCCTCATGTTCTGAGATATGTCAGCTGTGGCCATATCTCTTATTAGTCTGTTATTAGGTCCGTTTAAATTTGTGTAAAATTGTTGATAAAGGGTCGTTATATGTTATTCAACTGTTGGAAGGTGGAGGTCAGTATGTAGAGTTCTGTTAGTCACGTACCAAGGTGCTTTTGTTATGAGTCGCAATAAGTTTTATTGGAAGTTTTTGTAAGTGGGTCTTTTTAGTGATTCCGTATATTTGTGATGGGTGTGTTTATATGGGTTTAAGTTAATAAGTATCTTTATTCAGTTTCTGTCTTACGTTTCATTTTTACATGCGGGCTCCATGTCATACATGATAAATTAAACTTTTGACAAGTAGCATAAATTAATAACTGAAAACAACGCCTCTACCAAAATTTCAGGGCTTCATTATATTTACTGTTAGCTCAATTTACCATATTTTGTTATGTTACATTTATCAGTTTATAATTCATTCTATATTAGCTATAACCTACTGCATTTATTGTCCTCCTTATGTTTTATTTAATTATTCAATTCTTCATTATTTCATATTTTGTATGCCATTTCTCTAAACTTAAATTTGTCTCACAAAAGCACTATATTGTTGTATTTTATTTCGCTCTGACATAAACGTGCATGGTATTTCAAAACGTTTGTTTCAATAAATATTTCAACGATTTAAACTTCCTTTTTTGACAACTGCTTCATACTGTTTCTTACTTCTATTATACTATTTCTCCTATTATTATATTAGTCCGTGGCACAGATCCCTTTTTATCGAATTATTAACATCTGCCTGAAACTTCGTAAATAGTTTCATCTCATCATGACCTACAACTATTTTATTTACGAAAACTCTTGGAATTGTGGCGTTTTCAATCTGGAGGGGGACAAACATTGTCTATTTAATTATGTACTAAACTCGTAAATACTCATTTGCTTTCTATTTGGATCGTAAAATAATTTGATCACAAAAATATTGAGGCGTTTGGCGTGACCTACACCCCCAAATTTTCAAAATAACGAGGTTATATTGGACAAACGGCCCAATATTTTTGTAGGCCACCTGTTTTATTGATTTAGTGATCAAATTATCTTACCAAGTAGAAAGCAAGTGGGTATTTAAGGAATTTATAGTACCAAATCAAATAGACAAAGTTTTCCATTCTCCAGATTGAAAACGCCCCAATTCCAAGAGTTTTCGTAAATAAAATAGCTGTAGGTTAATGATGGAATGAAACTATTTACGAAGTCTCAGCCGGATGTTAATAATTCGATAAAAAGGGGTCTGTACCACGAAATATATATAATACTGCCTAATATTATTATATAATATAACAGCATTATGGAAATAATTTATAACTAAGCATTGAAAGAAAAAATTCAAAAGTGGAAATCTAGAACCCTCTAGATCCTTTAAATGGGAAATTCTAGTTTTGAAATGTCTGAACAGTCTTATTCTATTTCTCATAAAAATAACTAAATATCAGATTCCAAAACGTATCTGATCCTCCTGTTTAATTTGAGGAGTGAACAATATTAAGGTGTGAAATGAAGCTCGAACATGAAACCAACAACGTTATTGTTCCTCCATTGGGAAGTTTAACAATTATTTATTATTTTTTAAATTACAAAATGCACAATAATAACTATTTTATTATTATTGAGGCTGTAAAACGTTTTTACTTTTGGATATGTAATGATCAATATTATCTAACAATCTAATACTGAAGCTGAAAGAATTTTATTTTGTAGAATATCGGAATATCTAATATTTTTTTAAATGTCTTGTTTTGCATAAAAAGATTCAAATTCTCAAACACCCTTTTTTAGAGTTATCATTAACAGTTTAAACGTTCTAAGATTCACAACACTGTTTTGACAACGTTGCCTCAAATTCCATTCCGTTTTACTTAGTAATTCTACAGATAGAAAAAATATATATAATGCTTATTTACGTTTGCATATATCTTTACAACTATCCAGCTCCCATTGAAATATGTTTAAAAATGGCCGTTTTAGAGATTTCGTTGAATTATTTCATTGATCATACATGATTGATGGTTGAATTTAATTATTTAACATGACAATATTTACATTATAAATGTACACCTTACAAGCAATTTCTCGCAAAACCTAAAGACAAAATATTAGCTAACCAGTTTGTTTAATTTCGCTGAAACTGAAATTTCAATACTTTATTTGCTACTTTTATAAACGTTAAATTTTTGTTTTGAAGACGTTAAAAAACCTTTAATTATATCTATTTGTTAGTAAAAATAAAATCTTTTTACGAACCAAAAAAAACAAGTGTTAGGTATCTTTTTAATCAAATACTTATTTACTATAAAAATAATATTTTTGTTGGTTTAAAATTTAATTACAATAAATAGTGTTAGGTCTCTTCCCTATATATACCTGGATATTTTTTTTTTTTTTTTTTTTTTTTTGAACTTGATTCTTCAACTCACACCTGTCAGAAGTTCCGACAATCAGCGAGTGTG